AGAGAACTCAAAGTTCGAGCGAGAAACAGTGGGCTGAGAGGTTATTCTCGAATGAGAAGAGCTGAATTGATCGCTTTACTAGATAATAATCAACCTAATGATGATGATGATATTCAACATAATAATGTTGATAATCAACATAATGATGATATTCAACAACAACAACAAGAATTAATATTTGTACCCACATCCGCCGGCGTTGGTAAATATATAAGAGGTTGGAAGATGAATATTAATTCTAACAAGGATGTTAACGATATTAAGCCCATCATATCGAGTAAAATTAACGAGGAATTAGATGATTTACATAGTATAAAATACCAGCTGACGATTAAAATGACATTGGGTAAAAGTAACACAGACGATAGCACCGAATATACCGAACCATATTTCCGTAGCAATCAAGAAGTTATAACCGAATCTGATACTATAAACTCATCATTAGATACATCAATTCAGAGAATACAGGAAACTTTAGAATGCTGGACTAATAGAGGTTCGGGTTGGGGTGTGGATAAAACCGATAGTTTATATTTAGATATAGCAAATTATATGCCCTTCAAAGGTCGATCTTATATAGATTTACCCCCGTATTATAAGAAGAAAAAAGCCATAATTAACGTAAAAAATAAATCCGATGACTGTTTAAGAATGATGATAAGATCTGCATTGTTCCCCGTAGACAAAAATCCGGATAGACCTTCTAGCTATCCCCAAAACGATGGACTCAACTTCGATGGTATAGACGAACCTACACCAATATCACAAATTGATAAGGTAGAAAAGCAAAATAATTTAGCTATAAATGTTTTCGGACATTCTAAAGGAATTGTTGTACACAGGATAAGCTCCGCTCCGGAACATATTCCCAGAATCAATTCATTTCTGATCGAAAAAGATGGTAAATATCATTATACATGGATAAAGAGTTTAAACAGGCTATTATACGATCAAACAAAACATGCTAGAAAGAAATATTTCTGCGAAAGATGCCTACATGGGTACAGCAGACAAGATCTATTAGAAGCGCATAAAGAAGACTGTAGAGGTGTTGGGCAGACCGCTATCAGGATCGATATGCCTGAAGAAGGAAAAAAATATATTAAAATTTAGCTACCTCTGTTGATTCTTTCGATGTTAATGGCTCAGCCTCTTTGTATCGACTAGCCACATCCACTACTGTTAAAGCGTATTTATACGTTTTGCGTTTTACCTTATCGTGGGGAAGAAACAAGAGGTCAGCCTGATGAACTTCATTTGTTGTAAAAATATCAAACTTCTTCCTCGGTATATAACGCGGTGCCGGTAAATATATCTGCCACATCGCTTGTTTCTTAAACCAATCCTTGGCCACATCTTTAGATACCTTAGCCGCGGTGGCTAATTTTTTTATTGCTCCTACACCTTTCCAATATCCTCGTGGGCTATAGTAAATTTTATCCATTATTAATTAATATTGATGTTTCGTTTAATACAACTCATGACTATCGTTGAATCGCATAATCATTTTGGCATAAAAAATTCCATCTGTAGTAGCAGTATAGGTATATGAATCCGGCTCCAGTGGAAGTGAGCCAGAACCATCATTACCTATACTACTCAACGATTGTCCTCATTCATTTTAGTTCGTTCATGTTGTAGGTTAGAGTAATGTCTGATATTTCGGACAATGAACTATCAGTAGCTCAACTATCTACTCCTGTCTCCTCCTTCCCGCCACCCCTACAGATAGTAGACGCGTCCACACTGAATTCTCGAGAATTGTACTGAGCTCAGTCAGACTGCCGCTACACATGACACGCAGACATTTGAAACTCGGCAGTGCAGGGTAGAGCATGGAGTGTCTGGGAATAGAGTGATATGTGCATGGTATAACCACTCTCATGGAGGGTATACACTTGGAGGCTGTGGGTAGCGCTGGGCTAATTCTGTTTATAGTTGTGTGTGTATGGGAAGAGATGATGAGAAGGAGTGTTGACAGTGCCTGTAAGGGTTGGTGAAGTGCAGGGAAGGTTTGTGGACCTAATTGGCAGTTAATTGTTTGTTTGAGTTGTTAAAGGGCGTGAAGTTAGGAGTTTGTGAGTCAATGGTTACAGTTAGGGTCGTGTGTGGAAGAGTGAGTCAGTGGTTGCAGCTGGAGCGTGTGTGTGGTAGAGCTATTGTGTCAATGGTTGCAGTTAGGGGGATGCTTAGAGCGTGTGCGTCAATGGTTGCAGTTGGGTGTGTGTGTGGTAGAGCGCGTGAGTCAATGGTTGCTGTTGGAAGCGTGTGTGTGGTAGAGCTATTGTGTCAATGGGTGCAGTTAGGGGGATGCTTAGAGCGTGTGAGTCAATGGTTGCAGTTAGATGCGTGCGTGGTAGAGCTCGTGAGTCGATGGTTGCTGTTGTATGTGTGTGTGTTAGAGGTAGTGAGTCACGTGTTTCTCTTAGAGGTGTGTGTTAGAGCTCGCTGGTCAGTGGCTGCTGTTAGAAGTGTGCGGGGCAGATCTAGTGTGTCAAAGGTTGCTGTTAAAGACATGTGTGAATGTGCGCGTGAGTCAATGGTTGCTTTTAGAGGCATGTGAGGTAGAGCGTGTGAGACAATGGTTACACTTAAGGGCGTGTGTGGTAGAGCGAGTGAGTGAATAGTTCTTGTTAGGGTCGTGTGTGGTAGAGCGTGTGATACAAGGGTTGCAGTTAAGGGCGTGTGTGGTAGAGCGAGTGAGTGAATAGTTCTTGTTAGGGTCGTGTGTGGCAGAGCGTGTGATACAAGGGTTGCAGTTAAGGGCGTGTGTGGTAGAGCGAGTGAGTGAATAGTTATTGTTAGGGTCGTGTGTGGTACAGCGTGTGATACAAGGGTTGCAGTTAAGGGCGTGTGTGGTAGAGCGAGTGAGTGAATAGTTATTGTTAGGGTCGTGTGTGGTAGAGCGTGTGATACAAGGGTTGGAATTAGAGGCACCTGTGATAGAGCACGTTAGTCAATGGTTGCAGTTAGGGGCGTGAATGGTAAATTTTGTGATGGTTTCAGTTAGGGGCGTGTGTGGATGAGCGCGTTGGTCAGTGGTTACAGTTTGAGGCACGTGTGGTAGACCACGTGAGTCAATGGTTGCAGTTAGGTGCGTGTGTGGATGAGCGCGTGGGTCAATGGTTACAGTTGGGGGCACGTGTGGTAGACCACGTGATTCAATGGTTGTTGTTTGAGACACGCATTCAACCAACGCTGATTAACACGGGCCATTCAGGAGACTTTCGACCATTGGTTGCTGAGGGCTTCCTATTACAACCACGAATATGCGAATGTGCACGTTGCGTACAGCTCTATTCAATAGGAGCATTTCAGCACACACACAACGGTGGAGTAAATGAGAATAGTCCCTGCATAAACACAAAGCAGACAGGACATAGTTATCAACAGGCTGAGCAACTTTGACGTCTGTGCACAGCGAGAAGGGAAATATGAAGTGTCAATAATATCGTAAAAACCTAAATCTGGTGACATGACATTTTTATGGGAGGCTCCAGTCTTGTTCTCCTTTCATTTCTATGTATGGCAACACAACACAGAGAGAGTTTATTCAGTATTGAAGGCCTCTTCGCCAAGAGTAATTTTTTTTATGTAACATACGCGTGGGTGTATTACATGTACGATTTTAAAAAAAATAATTAAGTTATATATCTAACGGTGAACTGGCATTTGGCGGGGGTGGTTGTGTGTGTGTGTGTGTGTGTGTGTGTGTGTGTGTGTGTGTGTTTCGGGGGGGGGGGGGGGGGGGGATTAGGTAAGGCAAATTCCTGATCTTGATAAGCAATGATGAAAATAACGAGGAATTAAATTATTCTTGTAATATGGGCAAACTAGTGCAAAATGATATTCATCTTCTAGTTCTAATAAATCAGACTTATCACAGAACATTAATTCAGGTTTCATAAACTGTTTGCTAAAGCGGTGTTTTTGTACTGTTAAGTCTTGTGTGAAACACTTACAAACACTTACAAGATCCTTGTCAAAGCATGAGGTTATACAGAGTTCAGTTTCCAGTAGTGATTATTATGACGCATAATGGTTCAAGAACATAGAATTGATAATCTTTAGACTCCAGTTTTGTACATCAATGTCAATACATCTTCTCTTGAATGATTCCATAAAACAATGTATGTGTCCACAGTTATGCGACATCCACGCATAACCAACACCAGATTTAAGCAAAAGCATTCTCACATGAGATGCGCAATTAACACTGGCACTTTATAACACGCATTCAATCGATTTGAATTAATGCGTATCAATATACACCAACATCTTATACATCGGCTGAAATAAATAACATTTAGATGATAATTGCCAACTTCACCAAGAACCATATCAGATTATGTTTTAAACCATGGCTCCTTTGTCTTTGAATGTGGTCTAACTAAGTGAATTGTTAGTTAAACACAACTTGGCAATGAAGGACCTTCTTTTTCCCCAAGTTTTGTTTATCTTGATGTTAGAACAATTTAATGAAAAGCGGAAAATGAATTCAAATATTTGATGTCATGTGAATTGTTTTTGTGTGTGCCAAAGATACTGTAGTTTTAAAATATTATGAAAAGTCGAAATGTGATCTTTCACTTATAAAATGTATAGTCGCCTGATACGACATGTAAAGTCGCCTGATACGACTTGTATAGTCGCCTGATACGACCTGTATAGTCGCCTGATACGACATGTAAAGTCGCCTGATACGACTTGTATAGTCGCCTGATACGACCTGTATAGTCGCCTGATACGACTTGTAAAGTCGCCTGATACGACTTGTATAGTCGCCTGATACGACCTGTATAGTCACCTGATACGACAAGCATAGTAGCCTGATGCGACAAGCATGGGTTGCTGAAGATCTACACTCTACCTGGAGTTTTACGTGTCTTTGCAAAGAAACGTTGTTATTTTGAAAACACACATATATATATATATCTAAACTATTGTTCGTTACAGTGTAGATGTGTATTATTATTCTTGTTTTTGAAAACATATTTTAGTAGACGCATCTACGAAAGGTCCTATTGACTCAACCACGAACGGTCCTATCGAAACCACCACAACACAACCCACGCATCTTCCTGTGATTCTTGTCTCTGTGTTCATCGTCATCGTCGTCGTCGCTATCATCCTTGCTGTGGTGGTGCTCAAACTGTAAGTGTATGTTTTACCCAAGACGTGTGTGATTCAGAGTGTCGTTGTTGAATGAAATGAAACAATACTCATCCTTGCTGACATTTTCTGAAGTATTAGTAGGATGTAAGGCACCGTGCATGTTGCATCAATTGGGAAATATTTTGAATATACATGTGACCCGCCAGGAGAAAATGTAAGGACGAATATAATTGTGCTGTGACGTCATGAAGAAAGACGTTTGACGTCAACTTACTTCCGTACGCCAAGTCTCAGGACTGTACAGACATATATAATGTTTCTCTTGTTCGTCAGTGACACAATAAAAACAGTATTTCAAAACATTTCAGATCGCGAAAAATCATTCACTATATCTTAATTATAACAACAGTTAGTATTTCAAGACTGAAAATGGGATTTTGCAGAAAATCAGTCCAAATGTTTGATGCTATGTATCTCTACAATACAAATGTTTGATGCCATGTATCTCTGCAATACAAATGTCTGATGCCATGTATCTCTACAATACAAATGTTTGATGCTATGTATCTCTGCAATACAAATGTTTGATGCTATGTATCTCTACAATACAAATAGTTGATGCCATGTATCTCTGCAATACAATTGTTTGATGCCATGTATCTCTACAATACAAATGTTTGATGCTATGTATCTCTGCAATACAAATGGTTGATGCCATGTATCTCTGCAATACAAATGTTTGATGCCATGTATCTCTGCAATACAAATGTTTGATGCCATGTATCTCTACAATACAAATGTTTGACGCCATGTATCTCTGCAATACAAATGTTTGATGCCATGTATCTCTGCAATACAAATGTTTGATGCCATGTATCTCTGCAATACATATGTTTGATGCCATGTATCTCTGCAATACAAATGTTTGATGCCATGTATCTCTACAATACAAATGTTTGATGCTATGTATCTCTGCAATACATATGTTTGATGCCATGTATCTCTGCAATACAAATGTTTGATGCCATGTATCTCTGCAATGCAAATGTTTGATGCTATGTATCTCTGCAATACAAATGTTTGATGCCATGTATCTCTACAATACAAATGTTTGATGCCATGTATCTCTGCAATGCAAATGTTTGATGCTATGTATCTCTGCAATACAAATGTTTGATGCCATGTATCTCTGCAATGCAAATGTTTGATGCCATGTATCTCTACAATACAAATGTGTGATGCTATGTATCTCTGCAATACACATGTTTGATGCTATGTATCTCTACAATACAAATGTTTGATGCCATGTATCTCTGCATTACATATGAATTGTTGCTTGACTTGTAAATTGTATTTAGATGATCCTAAAAACCTGTAGTTTTGAAAGAATAAGATGTCAAAATGTCATATTTCACTCATAACGGATTTATTTCATGGTGGGTCACACCACGTCACTATTACAAGTGCAAAATGTAATTTGAAATAATACAAACTATTACTTGTAATACTTGGTTTTTGCTTCTGATGTTTTGCAGAAGGAGGAACAAGTCGAGAAGAAAACGGAAAGGGGGGCGTTCAGATAACAGGTAAATATGAAGTTTTGATTATCCGCTGAAACACATTCCACTGGCCATAAAACACAAACCAGCAGTGAACAGTAAATGAATCACGAATAAATACATTGTTGTACACGTTTCTCCCTTGAAGAAACGAAAGGTACAGGATTAATAAATCACCATCTCGTAGCTAAGTGATGTTATGATCCATGCTGTAAGTATATCTGTCTCTACTGATATGCACCTGATTATGACATACTTTGTAAGACAAATGTATTCTTTCCTTTGCAGTCCTGCTGAAGATGGTAAGTATACCTCATTCAAAATTAATGAAGCTATGGCTGGCTGGGTATCCACATGTCCACCAAGAGTATATCAGGCCCTCACTGCTAATTGCAGTGAACACTATTCCTGTATCATTTATTTCCCTAAGGTAATGAAGATCGTTAACATCAACATCATACTTTAATCAGTCTTGAATTAATTCCACAGAAGGGAAAAGACAATACAGAGATGAATATACAAAAAAGTATATGAATCGAAAACAGTTTTTACGTAAACGTATATAGCGACCATTGGACTTAATAACAATAACTATGCAGACTTATCAGTCTGGATTATATGTTGAAGCATATTACTCCGAAAATAAAATAATGAGATAATATGAATGTATCTTCGAAAATAAGTGATGTACAGGTGTTGAATCCCAAATAATTGAAACGTGAAGGTTAACCCAGAAAACAGCACATACCAAACATTTTCTTTTGTGAAATTAGTAAAAAAACACACAAGAACAATCAACAATCAACAAAATATATTGAACCACACAAAGTTAGGTTTACAATCGTGAAAAAGGCAACACAATGCAATATATCACCATATGAAAATCATGTGTTTATCGAGCTCTGAGTATTGACCTAATGGATATTACTATATATTTCAGACCAAATTGTCACTATTTTTTTATGAATAAAGCGATATAGGAACACAGTGTCACGGGCATTTATTAGAACTCGCCTCAAGCTAGCTGCCAAAATAAATAATGTATTTCAAGCCCGTGTGCACTGCATCTAAACCTTCACATACATGAACGGAATATACTCACATTTAAGAGCTATTACATAAATGTTCAAATGTCTCACACCTTGCAATAACATCGAAGTAAATAACTGTACATTAACTGGTGATTGTGACCGATCCGAGAGAACATAAGGTTGTTATCATATCAGTAACTCAAATCGTCCTGACTTCTTTCGTATAAAAAGGACATTTCATAACTCCTTTTGGGTCAGGGGGTACCCGACATTCACATTTAATGTAACCAATATTTAAAAAGCTCTCATCCCTACATTGAGAAATAAATGGAATCTGACACATTCACCAAAAAACAATTCTACTCAGTGTTTATCGTCAAACATTCTATAACCACTTGCACACATATAATTAAACTTTCTCAAGTTCTTTCATTTTATGGAATGCCCTTATAATAGCATAGGTGATATCCTAGCGTCACATCATCTGAAAAGAATATTTTTAGAATAAGGCTTTTAACAATAAAATTAATGTTTTTAGTATGTTGATTAATACCACTCTAGCTTGAACAGCTATATTGCAGAAAGCTTCTGACCATGACAGCCTGCTGCTAGAAAACAAACCTAAATATTTATACCCTTGTGTGACTTCCACAAGTTGTCCATTCACAAACCATTTTCCCTATTATTCAGCCGCCCACCTTTCTCACAAAAAAATACCATTTGGCTTCTATAGTGTCTGAAATTAAAGTCGAATCATGTGCAAAGAGCAAAAATAAAACTTGTATGACATCAGGATGTAAATATACCCCAGAAAAATGCTCCTGTTCAATTACAAAACAATCATAATGTTGTCGAAACCTTTGGCTTATTTGTTTGGAATGTTTCATTTGATAGTAAAATAATGTATAACGTAAAATATGTTCCAGTGCGCTTGATTGAGCAGCAGCCTGAAGCAGGTCAGTGCAGTGAGTACACTCTGATCGTTTCATTGTTGTTGCGGTTAATGAATGAATGTGGAGTACTATAAAGTGACATTGTTGCTCTCTTGTATACGTTGTGTGGGGCGTGCGGGTAGCCTAGTGGTTAGAGCGTTAGAGCGAACGCCGAAGACCCGGGTTCGATTACCGACATGGGTACAATGTGTGAAGCCCATTTCTGATGTTCTCCGCCATGATATTGCTGGAATATTGCTAAAGGCGGCGTAAAACCATACTCACTCACTCAATTGTATACGTTGTTATACAATAGACGCAATTGTTTCAGTCTATTAAAATTCTTAGCTGTATGGAACATAGACAAGGTAATCTTCAACACAGACGTTATATTCAAATGAGTAATGCTGCAACCCACAAGCTTCAGATATGCACAGTGAATCCATTGAGTTTATTGTTCTGACAGCATCGCCAAGGGATGAGGAGATTCAGGAGATGAGCCATTCAGACGGAGATAAACTACCAAACGGTATGAACTGGGTTCCGTCATATCCGGTTTGTTTTTAGCAGTATGTGTATATGATACAGATGTGTAGAATCAGGCAATATGTACAGTGAAGTGACTTCTATCTTCAAAAGATGAATATATATTCAAATTAAATTGAGGATAATTTATTAAAGAGACTAATTCATTTCAGTCAATCTGTCTAAAATCCAATCTCATTTTGTTTGAATCAGCCGATATACATATTGCCTGATATTTTGAAGTCAGTAAACAAATTGCTTGATGGTAGATATTTACTCGTCGTACATTCACCATTTTGTTATTAGACAAATGTGACCATTCAATTTCTGAGTTAGTCCATTTGGATACATTTCAAACGAAGACAATTTTCTTTAGGAAATATGATTTTCTCAAGCTTCATCATCCCGCAAGGATATATAATTTATATCTGTTTGTTTTACCTAAACAGATCTGCCATACCATATAAAGGATAACAAAGATCTATTCATTGAAACTGAGAATTTCAACTTAGTGGAAGAGAAGCTGAAGACGTTTGGCCATGTGACAATAAGTGGTGCTCCAGGATCTGGTAAAACATCCATGGCCCTGATGCTGGGAGCTGAATACAGGAAGCAGGGGTATGAGCTGGTACTGGTTGAGGATGTTGGAACTGTTCAGTTGTCTGATTGCCTAGGTCAGGGCAAGGACGTGTGTGTCATATTCGATGACATGTTTCAGAAGGGTGGATCTATGGATGTGCATTGCCTGAGACAAGTTCTCTATGAGCTCCATGGACACCTGGAACAGTGGAGAACCAAGTTGGAAACAATATACCACAGTCTCCAGCAAACTCGAGGAGCGGAACAGAGGAGGACCGACCATCCAAACCTGTATGTTATATTCACCACAGATAGCAACAACCTTGAATGTGCAATGTCAAAACTTGAAGGCCATATATTTTTCCAAAACTCTTCAGTGGTAGACTTGACTAAATCGAAGAAACTTGAAGAGAAGAAGGCCATATGGTTGAAACACAAAAGTCACTATCAATGTGAAACTGACGTTGATGTGACTACAGTTATTGAATACGAGGAAACTGTTGGTTTCCCTTTGGCATGCAAACTTTTCTCAACACACGTACCTTTTCAAGAGCTCAAGGAAACGTTTTTTGAAAGGTCTCTGTTTTATCTTCAACGTGATCTTCATAAGGACACAAGTCAACTTGATGACAAGTCCCTGAAACTGTTGCTGAAGTCAGTGTGTGACGGTGAAGTGAAAATCAAGCAACTGGAGACTAAATCTGATGCACACCTGAAACGTGTTTTAACTCTTGTCTCGTTATTCCATCCTCTAATACATGATACATGCATGTCTGTGTTATTGAAAACTAAGCCGGAGCTTGTCCTTCATAACTGCAGTATAAAGTTCATTTGTGAGCATGTACATGATCTGCAACACAGCACTGCTCATGTAGAACAGAATGCCATTCATTTCTCAGATGCCTACAGTGACACCATTGCTGCCAGGCTGGCTGAAGCTGTTGTTGCTGGCACTTTCAGTAGGTACATCATGCATCCAATATGGAAAAGGAAAGACATAGAAGATAAAGTGTACCAAATGTTGAAAGATGTATGCACTATGTCTTCTGATTCTAAGCACAGCGTTCTCCATTATGCCTGTTTCTCTGGGAACAATGACATCATTGAAAGATTACTCCCTCACTGTGACATCAATAGACGTGCTGTGAATGGCTGGACGCCCGCTATGTTTGCTGTTACTGGTGGACAGATGGATACTTTGAAACTTCTCGTAAAGCATCAAGCTGATATCACATTACGTGACACCATGAACAATGACCTCTTTCATTTGGCTTGTCAATATGGGAATATTCAAATTGCGGAATGTATTTAGCAAGTTTAGGTGGTAATATATCTATTGTCGAAGATCTTCTGCCAACTTCTGACATCAACAGTTGGGGTGACCACGGGAGAACTGCAATAATGAATGCTGCCTGTTCAGGCCAAAGTCATATTTTTAAATTGCTTGTGTCACAGGACGTTGATCTTAAACTGACTGACTGACGACTACAATGACACGGTGCTTCATTTTGCCTGCGAGGGAGGGGACGCAGCCATTGTGGAACATCTTCTGCCAACAGTTGACCTCAATACCCGAGGAAGGAATGGCTGGACCCCGGTTATGGTCGCAGCTCGCTTTGGAAAATTAGATCCTTTCAACTTGCTTGTTTCAAAACAGGTCGATCTCAGGCTGACTGACGACAACAATAACAACTTGCTTCATCTTGCATGTCAGGGAGGAAACAGGTTCATCATAGAGCATCTGCTTCCACTGTTTGACATCAACAGTCGAGGACAGGATGGCAGGACGGCTGTGATGTTTGCAACTGTCAATGGACTGAGAAGTGTATTTGACCTGCTTGTCTCACAAAAGGCTGATGTATTACTGAAGGATGACTACAACAACTCTGTATTTCATTTAGCATGTCTAGGTGGAAATAGTTCAATTGTGGAACAGCTATTTCCAAATGTTGACATCAACAGTGTGGATGACAATGGGAGAACAGCAATCATGAAGGCAGCTTGTGCCAGAAACAAGAGTGTTTTTTTTATTTTCTGGTCTCAAAGAACTCGGATCTGGAAGTAATAGATGACTACCGAGACAGTGTGCTACATTTTGCATGTAAGGGGGGAGATAAGGCTATTGTTCAGTGCATTCTTCAAAGGCTTGACATCAATACCCGGGGAAGGAATGGATGCACACCAGTCATGATTGCAGCTCGGTTTGGAAACAGACATCTTTTCAACTTGCTTGTTTCAAAGGAGGTGGATCTCACTATGACTGACGACCACAGTAACAACATACTCCACCTTGTATGTCAGGGTGGAAACAGGTTCATCACAGAGAATCTCCTTCCTCTGTTTGACATCAACAGTCGGGGACAGGATGGAAGGACGGCTGTGATGTATGCAGCTGTCAATGGACTGAGGAGTGCGTTTGACCTGCTTGTCTCAAATGGGGCTGATGTGTCACTGAAAGATGATTACAACAACTCTGTATTTCATTTAGCTTGTATAGGTGGAAATAGTTCCATTGTGGAATGTTTACTTCCAGAGTATGAGTTCAACATTCGTGGTCACATCGAGAGAACAGCAATAATGGAGGTAGCTTTGGCAGGCAAAGGAGATGTCTTTGACCTTCTCGTGTCAAAGAAAGCTGACCTGATGGATGCCTTCAATGATACTGTTCTACATTATGCATGTCAAGGAGGGAACACAGCCATTGTAGAATATCTTCGGGAGATATTGGACATTAATGAGAAGGGACAGAATGGCTTGACACCAGTAATGCATGCAGCTAGGGCTGGTCAGAAGAATGTGTTCAATCTGCTTGTATCACAACAAGAGGAGTTGAATCTGCTTGATCACACCAGGAACAATTTACTGCATCTTGCCTGTCAGGGGGGAAACCATTTCATCATTAAGTACCTCTTGCCACTGTTTGACGTTAATGGTCCTGGAGAAGACGGGTGGACACCAATAATGATGGCAGCTCTCAGTGGAACGATGGATGCTTATGATCTGCTTGCATCAAATGGGGGCATTCCATCCCTGACTGCTCCGCAGAATGATAATGTTCTCCATGCAGCCTGTCAAGGTGGTAACAAGGTCATAGTAAGGAAGGTCATTGACATCTTTGACATCAACACCAGGGGAAGGAATGGTTCCACACCTCTGATGAGGGCTGTTATTGGAGGCCACATTAGTGTGCTGAAGTTCCTGATGTCTCGTTCAGCTGACCATACACTGGTGGACAATGATGGGCTCACCCTTCTACATCTTGCTTGTAAATATGGTCACCTCGATGTTGTGAAACACATCTCAGACAGGTTTGATATAAACACTAAAGACAAGGCTGGTTTAACATGCATCATGACATCAGTATTGCATGGTAAAGTTGCAGTATTTGAATACTTGCAAAGTAGAGGCGCAGATTTGTCACCAGTTGACAACGAAGGGGTTGACGCCTTAGATCTTGCCCTTAAAGTAGACTGCAAGCAAATCATAGAAAAACTGTCATCAGGTAGAGAGTCAGAGAGGAACGTCACACCATGGAATGCCCTTGTGATATCAGGAATGAGATCAGATGTGTATCATCTGAATAAAAACCGGCAAGTTTCCCTAAGGCTCTAATGAGGCCACTGTAGAGGATGTTATTGACAGCTTTGACATCAACACAAGAGGAAGGAATGGCAAGACTCCTCTGACGAGAGCAGTCCGTTGAGGTCACATTGCCGTGTACAGATACTTGGTGTCCTGCAGTGCTGACCGTACTCTGGTCGACTAAGACTGACATAATCTTTTACATCTTGCTCGTCATCACGGACAACTTGTAATGTTGAAATATGCCATTGATTATTTCGATATCAACTCAAAGGTCAATATTGGTTTGTCACCTGCAAGTTCGGGAGCAGACAAATCATAAAACAACAAGAAGGCAAACAAGACAAGACAGTGACTCCATGGAATGTACTTATGACATCTTTGGTAAGACTGGAAAAGTCACATCATGTGTGCACAGAGACACTCTACACTGAAAACTACAACAAGGCTTATATTGTACATTAAATGCTGTATCAGCATTGACTGACAAACTTATCTATGCATACGTTCAACAAGTTTCCATCCAGTAGCAAACTGGAAGGTTGGTTGGGTGTTGTCTAATGCCGCACTCAGCAATATTCCAGCAATATGACGGCAGTCTGTAAATAATCGAGCATGGACAATCGAGTGATTGACATCATGGGCATCGACACCAGACAGAAATTTATTTTAAAACAACATTGACAAGGATGTGCTTCTTCAAGATAAAGAATCACTGATTAAATGTAGTTTATGCTTAATATTTAATAATGATTATGTTATGCAGTAGATCCGTGTTGTGGCTATGCAATTTTACATGATGTGTTTATATATATAAAAGTAAACACATAGTTGCACAGGAAG